TATATAATGACTAGTATGGCCCAGTAGATTACTAAATATGATCTGCGCATTGTGACGTATATTTGTAATCTAAGTACAGTTTGCGTACCGTTTAGTATCTTTGTAATTTATTTTATTTTATTTAAGTAGTAGTAAATAAAATAGAGTAGAATTACAGGTTGCAGTTAATCCAAGAAACCCATGAAGTGAATGCCCAAAGGAGCGGGGTGGATGAGATCCATGAAGGTTCAAGTGGGAGCTTTTGCTTTATTGATTTTCTTAGGATTAGGGGCCATACTATGTCTTGTTTATTTATGCATTAGTAGATTATGCATGCTAGGTTTTATTTATGTTGATGATGATGCTCTAGAGTTCACCATAATAATCACAACATAATAAATCTTGGTCCCGGTAATATTGAGATTGCTTTTCCAATTAAAAACCCAACAACCCTTTGATAATTAATGATGGGTCATGCCAAAGTTGGGTGTCATTTTTTATCTTAGGTAACTTAGGGTAAATCAAGTTTTACAATTTTATTTGGTTGTGCTCAACAAGGTTACCTAAAGCGTTTAGAAGCTTGAAGCAAAGGGTAATTATTAAACATGAGATGGTTTATTATTCAACTAAGAGTTGCACGAGTTGCAATCAGTAAAGAGTTTACTTGCCTTGAAAATGTAATGGTTGATGGTAGGGCCAAAGTCCGATCAATTATTACAAAAATAAAGGATCTTGGAATCACTTAATTCATTTGGGATCATTTAATATTGAATAAAGTGTTAAAGTTGCCTATGATTTTAATTTAGGTGCTTTATAGATAAACATAGTTGAATTTTGCGTCTATTAGTAAGTGATATATATATTCTAGTTTTATGATTATATAATCTCCTCGATTGAAAATAAAAGTTGAGAAACTTTCTCAAAAGGTTAAAAGATAATCCATATACCTATATTCCAATTTTGCTAAGATGGTTCTAAAAGTAAGTTTTAGAAACCCATGTCACATGTCTAAGGTTGGTTTTCTTCAACTCAAAAGTGTTTGAGTAAAATGCCAACACCATCTTCATTTTGAAAAGTATTTCAAAGGATATAATGAGATGGGAGGTACGAACTCTCTAAAAGACAAGTATGGAATTCCAATAAAATCTCTTATCTTCAATGTGATTGAATATAAGAAAGTGATTGGAAGTCTCTATGATCAAAAGTTGATCAAATGACATTATTCTTCATCTATTTCATATGGAGTTAAATAGTTGATTAAACTCTAATATGAATAATGATTGAATAGACTTAGCAAAATCATGAAAAGTGCTTAAAGAAGTGAAGTAAAATAATATTTTTAACCTAAGAGAAATGTTTTAGGTGGCTCAAAAGGAAAAGGTTTAAGAAATATATGGTGATAACATTAGGGGATTATAGGCTAAGAAATACAAACAAATTGCTACCTCTAAGGCCTAAAACTACTTATATGCTAAAAGCTGTTATGAACGACAAAAATTTCAAATTGAATGGACTAATTTCAATTGATTAGAAACTACCTCATACAGTTGGAAGGTAATTTAAAATAATGGAAATGTTCCAATTTAAGAAGTATATTTTAGTAATTGATTTAGCATATTACTACTTCTTGGACATACGATGTCATGTTTAGTTCTCTCATTGAGATTGTGGTTGAACTAAAAGAAGAAGTATGGCTAAGGGAGAAATAAATTTACAAGTTTAGAAGCAAATGTTGTTACTTCACAAGTAGAATCTACAAGTTTAGAAGCAAAAGTTGTAACTTTACAAGTAGAACTCACATTTCACCTTACCTAGTAATTGGTTAAATAAATGTTATTTATTATTGTCATTATCAAAACAACATTCAATGTTTTTTTGATGACTTAGCATTGAAGATTCAAAAAAACATGGAGTAAATGTTATTCTATGCTTTATTGACTCACAATGTGTTTTGGAATAGCGAGCTAAATAGGTTAAGACTTCTATATGGTAGATATAGATAAACCAGTTCAATATATATATATATATATATATATATATATATATATATATATATATATATATATATATATATTGTCTCTAAAATGTTAATTGATTCAAATGAAAATGAACATTGCATACGGAAGATCCAAAGGGATGAACTTTCGATATCATTAGATTATGAATCTATCGATATATGCAAATATCATTCTAATTTGAAAATTTTGACAAATCATCCTTTAGAGAAATGATGACGTGAACTCAAGGTCCAATACATATCGATGTAAGAAAAACTAAGGTTCAAAGGCTAGAGACGAACAATGAAACTTGATTTGTGATACGATCACTTGTGCTTAGTGAAGCATAATTCTGAGAGTTTTGAAAAGTTCAAAAGTCAAGTATGAAGTTCAGAATCAACTTGAAAAAATAATAAATACATTACAATATGATTGTAATGGTGAAAGTTTGAGTCAAGACATTCACTTGGCAGTATATATTCAAAGTATTGCAATTTGATTGTAATAATGTGAATTTAAGCCAAGACCTTGATAAACATCCAAGAGTTGTGAAATCGTTTTACAACAAACTCCGAAAGAAAATCTGTGAAGTGTCTATGGAAGGAGCTATCAATCTATATATGAGATATATTTTGATAATGGATGAAAATTACCTATCTTCCAACCATTATTCAAGGGATATACTTTTAAGATGAGCTACAATACTAAACAAAACTACATATGTTAAATCAAAATGTAGCAAAGGCTTCATATGTGATATGGATAAGAAAAGTTCTTATAAAGTCTTACTACAAAGCAAGGAATAAAAGTTGTAATTAAATCGTTTAATGCATGTACGATTCCTATACAGAGCACGAGGTACTACTACACAAGTTATACTTAGCACAAAATGTTTGTTGCTCAAGTAGATGCCCTTCTGGAAAGGATGTCATTTCCAAAAGGTCAAGTGGGAGTAGTGTAAATCTTGAAAGAGTTTCGAGAAAAGCAACAAACAAACATGGTTTAAACCATGGTTGGTTCACCCCATGCCAATGTGCCTCTTCAAAAAGGCAAGTGAGAGTATATGAATCTCGAAAGAGTTCGAGAGCCTCAAAGGCATTCGAGAAAAGTTAGTTCGAGAATCTCGAAGAAATTCGAGAAGTAATCGAATAAAAGCAGCAATATGAGCATGATTCACCTCATGTTATAAATGACAACGCGTGGTCTCATTAAGCGTAATGGGAATCATAACCATGTGTCGAAGGTAGCACATTCCAAGTGCACAACCTCTATTGTCGTTTCTCATTGAAAATTAAACAAAGTTGTTGTATAAGTTTCAATTGTTGCATAAAAACCCACAATAATGCTAGTATGTGTAAAACTTAGCCAAAGAAATATGATTTCACATTTACTAAGAGTTCTAAATGTTGATTTTGGAACATAATGATTATGCAAGTAATAAAGATGATTTGACAAGTTATAACTTCAAGTGGTTTAAAAACCATGGAAATCTGAAATAGATTCTAAGTCTGTAAGCAAGTATATGACACTTAATTAATTTGCCTAATTGGGTAAGACTCATTATAAGCAAAACGGACAAGAAAGAAAAATGTTTTCTAACCAAAGCAAAGACTTATTAAATGATTCAACGAATTCATAGTATGATTATGATAAAGCCTTTACATTAGTTATGTTGCCAAGATCTATTAAAGATTTTTGAGGGATTTATACCTTATGAGATTTGGTAGATGGATTTCAAAAAACGCTTTCTCGAAATGGTTCGTGAAAGAATATTTGTATATGATACAGTCATAATGGTTTTGAAAATCCAATAATCCTAAGGATGCATAAAAGATCTTTAATGGATTGAAGTTAGCATCATGGAGTTATTGTTCTTAATTTTTGTGAGTTAATCAAATTGTTTGATATACTCATAAAATGAAGGAAAGATCTTGTGTATACAAGATGTTTAGTGGGAGCTATACAGTCTTCTTAGTCTAGTACAAAGAGCGATTGTTCGATGCTTAAAGGGTCAAGCGATGGCTAATGCGTTTTGTATGAAAAACCTTACAGAGAAAGATGAGTACATTTGGGATTCAAGATCTACAGAGATAGGTCTGAAAGGATGTTTAAGCTTTATAAAATATAGAAGTTGCAAAATTAATGTTTATGAGAATGTCTCATGAATTGTAATAACTAAACTATTTTAATAGCCTAAAGACACAAAAGGCTTATATTTGAAATTAACATGATGGTGGATGGTTTTGATTGTGTGTTAGGGAGCCACAATTGCAAAATCATCAGTCATGTTTCCCTATGTTTATCAATTGAAACAAAGTTTCAATCTTATTTAATCATGGTTTAGTATTAAATAAAAAGTCCAAAATAATTATGAAATTAATGGGATCATCAAATACGTAATTTGGTGAATGAAACCCCACAGGTGAACTAAATTCATAAATTATTTAAGTTCCTAGTTCGAAAACATTAAATGGGACATAAATGATTTCAATAAATGGACTAGCATTTAAGATTGATTGGATAACACAGTTTCATGGGCTATAGGGGCATATAGATGCTCGGTCAATCACATGGGTATGCATGAATAATGCATGATCAAATTAAACTATTGACCTACTTTGAAGTTCAAGTATAGAGCTTCCAGATATATTAGTGGATTCCTTTGACATGAGTGGAACACTGATTTCATTCAATGATTGATTTAACTGTGGTACACCCAAACGTCATTCCGTAAAATGGGACTATAAAAGGTGTTTCCTTGTTAATTCAAAAGTTGAGTGGGAGCTTTGGTTGCCACAAGATTGGATTGAGTCTACCTATTTAATTAGGAATGTATCATGGCCTCTTGAAGAGGGAGAATTCAGAAAATGCATGGTCGTGCTCAAATGGATTACATAATAATCATTTTTTTTGTAATTCTAACTCAGTTTTCAAGAAATGATTTAAAAATTAATATGATCTCGACATGAGATGCAATCATATTATCAAATCGACACACATTGACTTAAGGAATTTGAATATTGCACAGTTGTTCAAACAAGTGGAAGATTGAAGGATTTATGTCTTCGTCAAGTGCAATTATTAGATATATCAAAGATCATTATTATGGAGATAATTAGTTCATTATTTTGGGTCGTTATTGTTTGTTGCTAGATATGATAAATGATATTTGGGCTAGTCAAATAGTCCAAAGCCCAATAGAATGGATCCTATAAGGTCACACACAAGGGTTATGGATTGAACAAAGTATGAAGCCCATTCATGAGCCTCATGAGGTAATGACAAACCACATAAGTAGTAAGGCGAGAGTAGTTTGGATTAGGTTAGGAGTTTAGGCCTCACATGGACTCTAATTATATATGAGATATATAAATAGAGACCTTGCCTAGGTTATGCATACAAGACACAATTAACCTAAGTTGTAGATTGTGAAGCAAGCAACCAAACTCCTTCCCCTCTCTTTCACACCCTTTTCTCTCTCTCTCTCTTCCCCTCTATCTGTACAGTACGGACGCCAGCCCCCTAATGGCGCACGATGGTGGTGGTGGTGGTTCGTGGATCGTTTGTCCCTCTCCTCTCTGTAGAAGGTTGATTGAAGGGTTCAATCACAACTAACTAGCATTAGTGGAGGTTCAATCCTTGCCCGTGGACCAAGTAGTGGAATCACGATTGGGGTTCTTGTTCTCCTTATTGTTCTTGCTTGATCACTCGTGGAATCACACTTCAAAGGTATAATTATGTGTTCTTCGTGTGTTATGCATAGATCTTGTGATTAGATGCTTATGAATACGATTCATGCAATTCCGCTAATAGTATCTAAAGTCCTACATATATTAGTGACTCCAAGTCTCCAACTACACAAACTTACCAAAACATGCATGATCGTGTTATCAAATCAGATCAAATACGCCATTGAAATCCATACCTTTGCAACGATAGCACGTAAGTACGTGGCACGATGAGCTCCAGATGCAGCTGCCCAACCTGCCCCTTTGTTCCTCTTAAGATCCCTTCTAACAGCAGCCATTGCAAGCTCGCTGCTAGTATGTCCAGTAAAACCCCCCTTTTGATTAATACCCCGTTCATCAAATCCAATATTCAATCATTGTTAAAAAAAAAATTTAAAAAATCAATTTCAATCTCAATATGTAGCCAAGAAACTCTAATATCAAGGACCACCATTTGTCAATGATGATGTAGTTTTACTTGGATAGAAGCAACTAAGCTAGAGGGAATGACATGATATGAAGTTGACAAACCGCAACAAGCAAGCAGAACATTAATCATACACCAGATGAAATTATACACCAGAGAAGATTGGTCATCATCACCGCCATTGCTATCACCACCACCACTAATGACAAGATGACAGTGGTAGTAAAGCAACATCAACATTAATACATGAACCCTAAACCAGAAAAGAAAAAGGCTGAGAGGGAGAAAAGCTACCTAGCCATGGATGATCAATAGGTGGTTCCTGCCCGCTTTAGCGTCAAGTCATAGAAACTCTGACATTTTTTCTTCGCCTTATTGAAAAAGAATTCAAATTGTTGGGAATTTGCTTGTTACAAATTTTGAGTGATCGCGCTGTATTAAGAAGAAATCGAAATTGTAAATATATGGCATCAAATCAGAAATTGTGATTCTTAATTAAGTTTAAAATTTTGAACTGCAACAAACCACCACAAATTATATAAGAACAACAAACATCAAAATTGCGCGCTAATAATTTCCTAATAAGAAGATCAAAACTATTAAGATCCAAGGTAAGCAAAATAATTTGAACCACAATACTAATGTATATTTTTTAAAAAAAAAATCGATAATCAAACAAACAATTCACAGTATGAAAAGGAATTCGAAGAGACGAACATAGAAGAAGAAAGATATTACCTCAGAAGTTACTTCAACTGATGGGACAGCTCAGAAGCCGCATCAATGGAGAATTCAGAGTACGTACTTCAAGCCTTCAATGGAGCAGAGAGAAATTACCCCCAAATTCCACAAACCCAATGCCTTATCTGATAATTTCGAGTACATTAGGGTTTACAGGATAATCTATTACTTGTACGAATTTAAGAGAGAGGAAATTGAATATAGTGACTCATTAATTAACGATAAACCCTAGCTTTTAAAATGCGGAATTCGATAATTGAAAAACAAATTACCTTGCAAGATGCTTCAATGGAGGAAAAAGCTCAGAAGTTCCTTTGATGGAGTGAAGTACGTGAGAGAATTACCATCGCCAGTAATTCTGATTCTCATCATGTAATTGAGAATTGGAGATATGGAGGGGAGGAAATTAAGGGAGAAAGAGGAGAGAGGATGCTAGAAATTGAGAGGATGGGAGCAATTTCTGGTATAAAGCACGCAAGGAGATGAAACATCAGAGAAATTCAGGAAAAGGAGGAAGAAAGGACGAGAGTCAGGGCAGCAAAGTAACTTAGACCAAGGACAAGAATGTAATTTCACTGTCTAAGGGCAAATGTGGAATGTTACTGTAGATAGCTATAGTAACACTACAAATTTTATAGGAAATATTAGAAATAATAACCCAACTTTCATGAATTTTGCTACAATAATCCCAACTTTGGATTATTCTGGAATAATCCGAACTTTGGGGTTCCACTTTTTCTTCAATCCCAAATACCGGTTACCGATTGAATGGGTTAATTTTTTTTTTTGCTAAAGTGACACGTGTTGCAACTTAATTGGTTAATAAAAAAAACCATAATAAAAAAAAACCACCCAGCCAATCTGGCAACCCGCACACCCCAGCCACCTCCCTTGCCGGACCGTCGTCCCTCCCCCACCACTAGAGTAGCCGCTACGCGAAACCCCCATGCAACCACCGTCCCCCCTGCCCGAAACCCCCACGCAACCACCAATAAAACCCTTCCCTATTTCAAGAATTTCCAACCGTCACTACTCTCCTTACCCCGAAACCTTAGCGGCTAGGGTTTTCGACGGTGGGGAAGTGGCTGTTGGGGGTTTTCTGGAGTGGGGGAGGGGTTTTTGAGGGAGTTTCGGATGGTTGGAGGGGTTTAAAGGGAGTCCGGTTGTATAGGGCGAAAAACCGAATCGGAAAAGGCGGGGATTGGGGGTGGAGGCTGGTTGCAACACCGGCATAGGGGGACTGGGGGGAAAGCGGCGTAGCATTGGGCCAGGGGAAGGGAGGGGTAGGCGCGGCAGGTGGTGGTGGGGGTTACGGTGGTGAGGCAGTGGAAACGGTTTATGGGTTTTTCTTTTTTTTTTTAATTTTTTTTAATTTTTTGACTATTCAAGACTTGACACGTGTCAAGTGACCTAATATAATAGGTCATTGACTTTGGTTGACCGGTTAGGGGATTGAAGAAAAAGAGGAATCCCCAAAGTTCGGATTATTCCACAATAATCCAAAGTTGGGATTATGGTAGCAAAATTCATGAAAGTTGAGATTATTATTTCCAATTTTTCCTAAAGAATTTAAATAAAATACCCCAAAGATAAAATGAACTATTCCTTAGTTTTTTTTGGGATAAAATCCTGGCCTGAAAATATGAGCTTGGAAAAACTGCAATAATGTTTATTTACCTTAAGTGGTATGATTGCACTATGAATTGTTCACAGTCCCTCGGTCCCTCCTCTCTCTCTCAGTAACAGAATTCACTTTTTTAAAAAAAACTTTGTTCAGCGAAGAAAACTAAGGAAGAAGATGAGTTTCAGAGCTGCTGGTGCTTCTCTAGCCTTCTCTCATGGCGGTATTTCTCTCTCTCCTTTTCATTTCTTCAAGTTTTCCCCCTTTCATTTTTATTCCCGATATTATCCTCATCATTACCCTAATCGTGCTCATACATTTGATAATCGTGACTTGTTTCTCCAATCAGTTACTGAACGATCTAAATTAGGGTTTTCCGATCTTAATTCTCCCCTTTTACTCTTCTATCAAATGGTTAATTTGCGTCCTCTTCCTTCTCTTATCCAATTTACTCAGCTTTTTACTGCCATTTCCAAATTGAAACGCCTTGAACCTCATTCCACCATTATCTCTCTCTTCCGGAAGATTGAATTACTTGGTATTTCACATGATATGCATTCTTTAAGTGTTCTTGCTAATTGCTACTGTCATTTGGGCAGACTTGATTTCGCCTTTTCTCTCCTTGCTAAAAGTCTTAAGCTTGGTTATCCCCTTGATTGTGTCATTTTTAATACCTTAATTAATGGATATGTTCACTGCGATAAGCTACCCCAAGCTGCTCATTTGTTTAATAAAATTATCAAGCTTGGTTTCCAACCCGACTTAATTATGTATAATACTATTGTCAAAGGCCTTTGTAGGATTGGCGACAATGCGTCTGCTCTCGCTTTTCTTAAGAAAATGCAATCTGGATGTCATTTTAAGCCTGACATTGTTATATACAACACTATTATCGATAGTCTTTGCAAGGACAGGTTGTTACAAGAGGCCCTAGACCTGTTCTCCTCCATGAAATCTGAGGGCATTAAACCCGATGTTGTCACTTATACTTCCTTGGTTCGAGGCCTCTACAATTCCGGCTGTGGGGATGACGCTCTGCGTATGCTGACTGAGATGTTAGAGAGCAACATAGCACCTAATCTTCAGACCTACAGCATGCTGGTTGACATGTTTTGTAAAGATGGCTGTGTTGATCAAGCTCAGTCCATTATAAAGCACATGATTGAGAGAGGTGTGCCTCCAGACATCATTACTTACAGTGCATTACTTGATGGTTATTGTTTGCGTGGTCAGATGGAAGATGCAGAGAACCTACTTGATCTCATGGCTGAAAATGGTTGTGAGCCTAACCTTGTAAGTTTCAGCACTATAATTAATGGGTATTGTAAGGCTAAAAACATTGACAAGGCCCTAAACATTTTCCAAGAGATGTTTCGGAAAGGAATAACCCCTAATGTTGTTACCTATAACACTCTTATCGATGGACTCTGCAAAGCCAATAGACTCCCACATGCGCGTAAGTTGTTCGAGGAAATGTTGGCTGCAGGAGTTACTCCAAATGTTGTCACCTATGCTTCGTTGCTTGACTACCTTTGCAAAAGAGCACGACTTGATGAGGCAGTTAAATTACTTGAAGATATGGAGAATAATGGTGTTAAGCCTGGAATTTCTATCTACAGTATCCTGATGAATAACTTGTGTGAGGCTGGACAACTTGAAGATGCAGCAAATTTCTTCTCCGATCTTGTATCAAAGGGTCTGCAACCTGATATTAAAACATACAATATAATGGTCAAAGGCTTCTGCAAGAAAGGGCTCATGAGTGAAGTTGCTCAAGTGTTGAGGATAATGGAGGAAGATGGTTTCCCCCCTGATGATCGAACCTATAATACGCTCATCAGAGGTTATATTCTCGGTAACGACTTACCTAATGCATTATACTATCGTGATATTATGGTTGTCAAGGGATTTAAAGCTGATGCAGACACTTTCTCATTATTTGTTGGGCTCTTGTCATCTGTAAATTTAAGTGACTCGAAGAAGGACCTGCTTCAGAAGTTTATTAATTAAAACGAAATTGATGTGACTTCAAAGAATTTAGACCTTGAGTATTCAAGTGTTGTTCTTAATAGATTGATTTACTATCTTGTTTATTTTCGATGGACACGTGATGCTAATACCTTATTTATCTTGCTGTGACCTCCAGAGTGTAATTTGTGGCTGAAAGTAAGAAGTTGTGAAGCTATGCATTGTCTGTCCCAAGATTTAATGATAATCTGTGCAGACTTTGCATAATGTATTTTTTTTTTTTCTATTTTTTCCTTTTGCTTAACTTATTGTGGTAACATCATAATTTGGTTATATTTGCTGGTATATAGCTTGCGTACTATGATGCTGTTTTGTTTACTCAGACTTAATCAGAATTGGATGAGCTGCTTCTGCTGCAGTCATTATCTCCAAACTGCTGCTACCCTTTTCAAAACTACTGTTGTATCTTCACTTTGTTTTCTAATTAATCTCGGCTATGTATATTGTAGGCTGTAAACTTGAGGCAGCCAATTTTTCGTTACCTTCCTATGTTTATGTTTGCTATAAGCTTGAACTGGTTTACAAAGAGGAGTTCCTCTTTGATGTTGTATATGTTTCCTTTGTGTTTTAAGAAAACTTATGTTTATTTAGTACAAAATAATATAATATGCTATGTTGTGTACCGTAACAAAATCAAATCTCGTTTACATGATTGCTCTACGTGGTTTCTTTAACACACATAGAGCATACAGAACAAATTTGTTTGCTACTTCTTTGTCCCAATTTTTGTTGGACTTATTTCAAACAAAACAAGTCCCAAAAAAAAAAAAAAAAAACTCTCTAGTACTATTATTCCGTTAAAAAAGATTTGCTTTGGCAACCTCTTAATAGAGGTAACTAAGAGAAGTTGTGTTCCGTTTAACACAAATTTTTAATTAAGGCGGATTTTTATTAAGTTATTGTAAAACGGATTAAAGTTATCCTAAAAGTATATAATGTTACCCTTGTATACCATAAAAGTTAAAAAAATAACCATTTTTCTAACATAAATTTTACTCTTACAACACTATAATGTACTCCGTATAAGTTTAATCATATTAGCTTTTATAACATGTATTCATTAGATAATACACATTAAAATAAATTAAACTCATTACAAATTAAAAGTTACCCTTAAAAAGGATAAAGTTACCATATAACTTACGAATATTATAGTTATCCTCCGATTGACCGTCCTAACGTAAGTCCGTCTTATAAAAAACTTATTATTTAATATCAGCAGGGGTATGCTGGTAGTATTCCATTCGTCTTCTAATGCTTTATTCTTGCCCAAAATTTTGGAAAAATACACTTTAATAATTCCAATTTTGCTCAATTTAATTTAAATAATCTCAACTATTGATTATTCTGCAATAATCCCAACTTTTACATGCATTTTCTTTCTTTAATCCCAAACCGGTCAACAAAAGTCAACTACCCTTTACTCTAGGTTACCTAACACGTGTCAACGTAGCAAGGTAGCGGTGGCCGTTCTCCCAGGAAACCCCCGAACCACCCCCTCCTAGCATACCACCTTCTTCACCGCACTAATCAACTCTCACAACCAGCCACCAACTTGGCAACTTCTTCACCGCACCAAACAACTGTCACAACTAGCCACGCACATCTCCAACAACCACCTTCAACCTTCATATCGCTACCCAGCCGCAATCACCACCAACCTCCATCTTTAACCTTCATATCGTTGCCCAACTCGCAGTCATCATACCTCCAGCCACCACAACCTCCATCTCCACCTGCCGCACAAACAGAGCAGACTCCAACTGCTCGCCACCACAACACCCAATAACACCACCGAACCTCACATTGCAGCATCCTCACCAAACCTCACATTGTAGTATTGCACCACCGTCACTTAGCCCCTAACACCGGAAATCGGCCCCCACCCCAACCCCACCTCGGAAACCGTCTCCTCCCTTCCCACACCATCGATACCTGCCCTCCCTCCCTTGCCCCAACCCAGAAATCGACCCTTTTCATTCCCCCAACTTATAAAATTGATGCTAATGTGTAATACCCCGTATTTTTATACGTATATTAATTTGAAACATTATTTTATGATGTATTTTAATAATTCGAAATGAATTATTTATGGTATTTTAATAATTTAAAAAGGTTTATTTTAATTAAAAGTCCATTTTTATTTATTTAATTGCTTTGGAAATATTTTATTTTATTATTTAGAAACTTTGGGGCATAATTAATTGAGAAGCTATTGCGTGCGGACGTCCTCACGCAAATTTCCGTGCGGCTGGCTTGGCTGATATGTTTTACTTGTTGGCTGATATGTTTCATGTGTTGACTGATATGTTTCATTTGTTAGTTGATATGGTTTTTGTGTTGGTTAATATATTCCTTTTGTTGGCTGATATGTTTTTTTTTTTTTGCCTTTTGTTGGCTGATATTAGACATCATTTGGCTAATATATTTTTTTAATTGACTGATATATTTATTTTGTTGGCTGATATGTATACTTTAATTGCTGGCTTATATGTTTCATTTTGTTGGCTGATATGTTTATTTTGTTGGCTTACCTGTTACTTTTGTTTGCTGATTTCATCCTTTTGTTGGCTGATATGTGTAGAGAATTTTTCAAACTCAACTTTGAGCCCCACTGTGATCATGCTTTTAGGCATGGTGGTGTCCAAAGGGAAAGAAGCTAGAGATAAAAAAAAGTCGCCAATAAGTTTTAAGAACTTGTAAACCGTTCATGGGTGTGAAGGTTACACTAGGGATGTCAGTGGGGCGGGTCAAGTAGGAGACCCGCCCCATCCCCGCCCCACTGGGGGGGATGGGTCTTGATTTGGTGGGTGGTGGGGCGGGGATGGGGATGAAAACCATACCCGCTATGGGTGATGGGGGCGGAGGTGGATTTTAGGTTGTACCCGCCCCATCCCCGCCCCGCCCCACCCGCCCCATTTCGTACCACCCGATACCTACATCTATATATTTTTTTTTTTAAAAATTGTATACTTTTATACTACTACCTCTGTTTTTTTTATGTGCAACTTTGAGGAATATTTGTAAGACATAAAATATTCCAAAGTTGCACATAAAAAAAAACGGGGGTAATATTTTATATTAAAAAATTATGTAAAATAAAGTAGTAAATAACCAAATATAATATGTTGTAATAAACTTAATATTAACAATGATTTTTTTTATTGTAATCTACAATAGTATATTACGTAATATTGTTGTATTTGGGAGGCGGGGATTAGGTGGGGGTGGATATCCAAGTGGGGGGTGGGGCGCGGATGGTTTTGGAATTGTATCCGTTGGGGCGCGGATGAGGATGAATTTTGGACCCGCCACAGGGATGGGGATGAGAATGTTAGGCGGGGATGGGAAATCCAACATCTGCCCCGCCCCGCCCCGTTGACATCCCTAGGTTACACCCCATGCATTTACGATCACGTTGATCGCTAACTCCATAGTAGTCCGGAACTATGACTGGATATTCGAGGATGATGGTACGAATCCAACCTAAAAGAGATTGAACCCGGCCTAAATTGGCCTCTATTTAATTCTTATGATTTTCACCTGCGCTTTGCGAGCAACATACATACATTAAATTAATCCTAAGTATATTTAATCTACGTTGGTTGATTATTAATGCACAAAAAAAAAATCTAATATTGGCGATCACTTGAATTAAAATCATATTAGCCTAAATCAAATTATTAATTATCTTATTAGGCGTGATTTCAAGTACAAATTCTCTTTAACCCTGCAAGAAAGGGTGTGATCAAGCAATAACAAGAAATCATGAATAATCAAGCAATATAATAATTGACACAACAACCATCATCATCAAATCATTAGTAAGATCCTAGGCATGATACTAAACGGATTAATGACAAACCCTAGCATGTCACTAATAATAAAGATCAAAGCTTTCACCTAAACATGATACTAGAAAGCATGACATTAGTTAGAAATATTAATTAACACCCTAAACATGATACTAGGAATCAAGACACATCCTAACATGATACTAGGAATTAAAATAATATCTTAAACATGATTTCTATATCAAAAGAATAATTAAGTAATCAAATTACTTACTTTGATGCCTTGTATCTTTTTCTATCAAATCATTACACGCGTTAGTAACTTCAAGGAAGATTAAATCAAATAAAGTAAATAAATCATATAAGAATTAAAATATAGATTTGGGACCAAACTCTCAGAACTATCAACCTTTCACATCGAGGTCGAAGACAACTTCGAGATTGGCTAGGAGTATTCAAGGCTCGCAAAGGAAGTATGGTGTTTGTTTAGGGAAAAGTATCAAGGATGTGTGTTTGGGAGGTGTTTCGGCTAGGCTCGAAATCAAGAAAGAAGAAAGAGAGAAAAGCTTTAGCTTAGAGAGAGGATTAGATGATGATTGTTGGTGATTCAAAACGGGGTGAAACGACCTTTCTTTATAAGGAAAAAAGAGGGTCGAAGGATCAGAAAAGAGTCATAATCCGAATCAGAATAAAACAGGTTCCATCGCGGCGCGACGGGCTTATCGCGGCGCAATGGTGCTGTCGCTCAGCGATGGTTTTTTAAAGACTGAACCCGTACGGAATTCTATTCCCAATCGGATTAGGTTAACCGAATATCCGTACGCATTCTATTTTGACCGAGATTAGGATCATTGAAAAACATATGTTTTATCTGATGTAAAATTCTTAAATCTTTATCTTCTCAAAAACAGGATAAATTAGAACCTTCTAGAGGATTCTAGAAGCTAATAATAAATCCTAAGGGATTTAGGATCGAAAACAGCCTTCTAGAGGATTCTAGAAGCTTGTAATAAATCCTAATTGGTTTAGGAATGAGGTTAAAGTTAATGGACCCTCCACATGGTCATTGGGTCGCAGGTAAGGCTTAGTTCGGGCTCGATTTAGTATTCTGGCCATAACTTCTTCATTATAAGTCGGATTTAGGCTTATAATATATCGTTGGAAAGCTCTTTTCAAGCCCCATCCAACTACACAATAATTAGACCAGGATCATGGAACAAAATAGACTAGTTTGGACATTTTTATAAAGTGGACACGAAATGAATGATTTTGGGTTTTAAAGACATGAAATAAATGATTTTGGGTTAAAACATTTTAGGAAAGGTTATAAATAGTTAAGGCTTAAGGGGAATTCACGAGACTCTTCAACTCTTCACCTAACTTGATAATCAAAGACGTGAAAGGTACTCATCACTGGGTTGATTTATGGGGAGTCACAATCAAGTGTCTACAATATGTTTCATTTGTTGGCTGATATGTTCCTTCTGTTGGCTAATAAGTACCTTTTGTTGGATGATATATCCCTCTTGTTGGCTGATATATCCCTCTTGTTGGCTGATATATATCTTTTATTGGCTGA